CGCCCTTCTCCCGAGGGACTCAGGGCGGCTTACAGGTAAATAAAAACAGTACAATACAATAAATATCTAAAAGCCAAATTAAAATATATATTAAATGACCTGTATTAGATTTAAAATTATAAAATCCCTTTAAAATCCCTATAAAATCCCCCCCTAGGCCAATCCCGCTTGATGGAAAAGCCATGTCTTGAGGGCACGGTGGAAGGAGGGGAGATCCGGAATAATCCGGATCTCTGTGGGGAGTTCGTTCCACAGGGTGGGGGCTCCCACAGAGAAGGCCCTCCCCCTGGGGGTCGCCAGCCGACACTGTTTGGCTGTTAGGTTCTTTGTTTAATGGTCATAAAGCTATTTATAATTCTGGTGTAAGTCATGCCGCATATGTGTTCAGAGGTTCCTTACATTTCCCGCCCAAATGCTCCTCTTTAACTTTTTGATTTTTCCACAAAGAAAGAATAATAGCACAACTATGCATGTATACTTTAAAGGCATCTGAAACAACAACAAAAGACAGAGTGTCTATGAAAGAAAACTCTTCAAAATTTATGTTTAGTTTCAGTCCTGATCGGTGGCTTTCTACTACCCGCTTCAGCTTGGCTGAGCTCCAGACTCATTTTGGTTTCCTTTCGGTGTTTGGTCAGAGCCAGGGTGGGGCGAGGATTTCCCTTAAAATCTTCTCCTGGCTCCCAAGAGGCTGTGTGGAAAGAGAAACTGGTTTCTAATGAACAGTTGGTGTGGGTGTGTATGTGTATGAGAGAGAGAGAGAGAGAGAGAGAGGGAGGGAGGGAGGGAGGGAGGGAGATCGGTGAGCACAAAATGGTCAAAGAATTGCATGGTCAAAGAATCAGTGTTAATTTTTGACTCCATGGTATTCCTTGTTATGATGCATAAGTGATGATGCATCTCTCTCTCTCTCTCTCTCTCCCTCTCCCTCTCCCTCTCTCCCTCTCTCCCTCCCTCCCTCCCTCCCTCTTTCTCATCACATCTAGCCATTCCAACAGGTCCTACAAGAAAAGTCAGGTTGCACCTAACCTAGGGGCAGGGAACCTTGGCTCTTTTATGACTTGTGGACTTCAATACCCAGAATTCCTGAACCAGCCATGCTGACTCAGGTATTCTGGGATTTGAAGTCTACAAGTCATGAAGTCTACAAAAGAGCCAAGGTTCCCTACCCCTGATTCCTAACCCATCCATAAAGGAATATATCTGATGGGACCAGGAGGAGAGCCTTTTCTGTATGGCAACCCCACTTCTGGAACATTCCTTCTCCAGTGGGCAGGCTGGTGCTGACATGACTGGCCTTCCAGAAGAATCTGAAGACGTAACTCTGCCATCTGACCTGGGGATCTGGTAGTAATGGCGTGATGCCTGTAAAGGGGTTGTATTGTTAGTGAGTTTACTGAGTTTTCCCGCTGATAATATTTTTTTATGGTTTTAATAGTTACAGTATTTTTGTTTTACTGTTTTTGCATTTATGTGGTTTGGTGTTTTTTAAAAAAACTTTATAAGCTATTTAGGGTCACGTATCTGAGATGGATGGCTATGTAAGTTGAACAAACAAGCAAGCAATGTCTGCAAAAGGAACTGTTTGTGTGGCTTCTGCAATAGATTACCTTTCTTTCTCTTGAATTTTCCACAAGTTTTTATTAAGTACTTCCTCAGAATCAGGTAGCTGTCAGAGAGATTTGTGAGCACGTGAGAATTTAAGTTTGTCATCAGTCTCATGTCCATAATTTGCATGACTGTGTGCTTAGGTGGCATTTGGTTATTACTGTCTGATATCTTCGAGCTACAGAAAAATTGCTCCAGCAGATCTTCAGAGCACACATCTTAATGGATGGATTGTGCCATCAGCATGAAACTCACAGCTCTGTATTTATGATTATAATTCTGATTAGGATGTCAACATGGAAGACTTAAGATACCTTTGAATCTCTTTGATTAGCTTATTGCACTATAACTGATGCTCATTTCATATTTGCTCCACTATCTATGTATTCATATACATATGTGAAACAGAGCAGAGCAGGTAGTATTAATCAGCTGTTTGACCAAGCAGGGGACCTCTAATTCCTAACCCAAATTCCTAAATCTATTTATAAGGCCTTTTGGGGGCTATGGCTATTTTTTACCAGAGATAAGCATCTGAGTTCCCCACTTCCACTTTTTTTACCCCTTTCATTTGATTTGGGGCAACAAATCAAGTAGCAGATAAGAAGTAGCACACATCCTGCAGAAAAGAGAATAGTACTTTTCCAACTTTGGCTGATCTGGATAAAGGTCAGTAGGGTCAGTGCCATTGTATGAAAAAAAATTACCTCCTTTCTTCTTTCCACAGAATTGAAACTGGGGCCAATTTCGTTCACAAAGTTGTTTGCTGTAAAGTGGTACAATATGTCCATTAAGAGTAGCACTGAAATCCACAGTGAGTTCATTGATGGCGTGCCCTGTAGAATAGATGTAGTATGAATCTTATCAGGAACTACACAAGAACAAGGCCTTGCCACTGTGCTACTTTAGTTTTCATAAAGGGAGAGAGAGAGAGTGATAATTCACATGTGTGTAAAATGTGGTTTATACAATATGTCTCACCTATTGTAAATCCCCAAATTTAAAGCAAGTGGACATTCCAACTTACACTCAATTACTTGAGACAAATATCTACATTTGATGTAGAGGGAGTTTGGTTTTGATTTAACAAACACAAAATCCATCCTTAGTAAGTTTCATGCTTGGGACAAAATTATAATGTGGTTCAGACTGGGCTTAAAAACCTATTTAATTCTTGCAAGACCAGAGTTGAACAAAACTGAAATCTGGCAAGTCAAGATAGGAGGCATGGCTAGATCTAAAAAAACCAGTTTCCCTGTAGATGGCCTTAATCCAGTGGTGGGACTCAGCCAGTTCGCACCACTTCGGCAGAACCGGTAGTTAATTTTTTGTTGCCCAGGCCCAGAATGGACTTCCGGAAATGGCATCCACACAGAGAACCAGTTGTTCACATATTTGAATCCCACCACTGCCTTTAGAAGCAGTCACACTACTAAGAAGACTAATAGCCATTGATCCCTATGACTTCTATGAATTGGCCTAATCTTTTCTTGAAGCCAGCCATGCCTGTAGCCCATACCACATTCAGTGTAGCAAATTCCAAAGTTTAATTGTATGTTGTGTAAAAAAAAAAAAATCTGTTTATCCAAATCCTAGTCACCTTTCAAAACCTGGTTTAAGTGAACAAATTAGTAAAAATAGACTTTAATTTTAGATTGTTAAGAGACTTAATTGGTTGCAAACAATGTTAGGGGCAATATGCAACTGGCTCTCTCTGTCCAACTATACCTCTGACATCAGCATCACAATTACACAGATTTCCTCTTCCCCTAAAGAATATTGTTATCCTACATGCAGGATGTACAACATTCATATATGCTCTGAGTTTGCATAGTATGTTGAACTCCAAAAATAAGTAGGGCTAGACCAGTGGTTCTCAACCTATGGGTTGCGACCCCATTTGGGGTTGATCGACCATTTCACGGGGGTTGCCAAGCAAGGCTGTCCGCCATTTTTTTTGTCTGCCATTTTTCCCCCTTTTCCGGCGGGTGCTTTACCTCCCTTGGGCTGGGCCAGCTGGTGGTCGGCCTGCTCCGTCTCTGCCGCTTGCCAGCTACGCCTCGGCCGGCGCAGGGGGCGGAACCACGCATGTGCGGTGCTCCCGGGCAGGGAAAGTCCTCGACTTACGACCGGTTGGGTAGTCCTCGACTTATGACCGTTTTAGTCCTCGACTTACGACCGGTTTAGTCCTCGACTTACGACTGGTTCAGGTCGCGGCATTAAAAAGGTTGAGAACCACTGGGCTAGACAGTTTAAGGAAGGGGTTTCAGGTGTTTTAATGAGGGAAATGGGTTCCCTAAACCTCTGTGAGTCTTAAGATTGCCACTGTATCCTTTAAAGCAGGGGTTTTCAAACTTGGCCCTTTTATGACTTGTGGACTTCAGCTCCCAGAATTCCTCAGCCAGCATGCCTGGCTGAGGAATTCTGGGAGTTAAAGTCCACAAGTCATAAAAGGGCCAAGTTTGAAGACCCCTGCTTTAAAGCCTTCCTAAATTAGAGCTTGGGGAAAAGCTTTACAAAAAGAATATTGCTAGGTCATATTTGCAGCCCTGGCTTATACCAAAGGAGAGCAATCTGTGATCTTCCAGATCAGTTGAGCTTTGAACCTCATTATCCTACAACTTGGCCATCTTGAGGAGATCTGATGGGAGTTGTCCTCCTCTACCATACAGTGACGTAGTTGCAAAATCATGCCCATGAGGTGCCACAGGGAATCTAGGAAAATATTCACTACTGACATCGGTGTTGCTTCTGAAAACAGCTTTTGGCGTACTTTCCTTTCAGAAATATCCTTAATAATAAGTCATGTAATGTTAACTCATCATAAGTCCTTCACTGACTTACTTGGTTAAGTAATCAGCAAATGAGGATACATGTACTATAATATATGGGGCAGTTATAAGCTTATTAGAAATGCATATCTGATAAGAAATTTCAGGGTGAGTATCAGTCTATGCCTTTCCAAAAGTAAGCTTACATAGAAACACAAATATTCCATAGTTTCTTCTCGGCCAGTGCAGCCTGGCAGAGTAAGTGTGCCCCACATCCCTTGGATTAAACAATGGCATCTATTAGGAATCAGGAAGGGTGCCTTCTCTATTGCAGTACCTGCCATCTGGAATGAGACACACACACAGCTGGATCATGTGGTTCTCACCATGATCACATTCCAAAAGGCATGAAGACCTGACTCTTCCCCCAGGCTTTGTGTTAGGGTGAATTGGGTCCCCTTGATGAATGAGGTTTTCATTCATGTTTGTATGGAGCAATTGGATGTCATAGGCTTATTTGTATAATACTGGGTTTTCATTCTGTTTTCTCTTTGATTTTGTGAGCTGCATAGAATTGCTTTGGAGCCAACCCAGACCTAAATCTAATAATAAAACGAATAATTTGTAGCTGATAATTTTAATTTAGGACACAAAGCATTCTCTAAACCATTGAACAATTGCCCACTTGTACTGTGATTCAGCACTACAGAGCAGTGAATTGCTATACTTACTTAAAACAGTTGCTAATCGAATGCTAACATCTTTGCCGGCTTCATAGGAGCAACTGTCAACACTCAAAGCAAGATCTTGCAGAGGATCTGCAAAGAAAAATAAGACCCAAATCACAAGTGATTGATTTTACTGTAGCCTAAATAAGAGCTATAACAGTATAGATAACAAAACATCAGAAAGAAATTTCTTAAACTTGTTTTCAATTCAATTATCTTCACAGTTCCTGTGGATGTGATCTCTGTGGATCACTCTGCTTTCTGCTTGGGAGATTCAACAGGGAAGGAAATTCAAAGCTTGTGATCCCTGTCCTTTTGACACTATAACTTGATTAAGCAATCGAGCTTCCTGAGCAGAAGCAAATGTGGAGGACTAGTCTTTTCTTTGCAGCTTGCCCTGAAATGCCACTTCTGCAATGCCACTACTGAAATTTAAACAGGAAGCACCTTGCTTCTTCAGGATGTGATTGGACCACCAAAGGTATCCTCCAACTTTCCAAGCTCTTCCTCAATTTCTTTTTGGCAGACCCTTCAGGGATAGTTGGCTTTTTCAGACCTCCCTTTAAGTATCAGCCCCATAGATCAATCACACCAGGGGTGTGTGTGTTATGCTACCTTATAGCATAAATTCCTCTGACTCCCTTACACAGAATAATTTTATATCTATATGTTTTTGTAGTTTTTCTTCTCTGTTATTCTGAGGAGAAATAGATGCTATATTTAATTTTAGCAGACTTGTCCACAGAACATATAGTGACAAAGTGTGCTGTGGCATTCCCCTTTGCACATGGACAGTGTAGGTCTTTAGTTATTCGGGTTTTCTCCCGCGTAGAATTAGAAGTGTCTTGGTGACGTTTCGACGAAGTCACATTCGTCATCTTCAGGCTGGTGTCTTCAGCTTCGTGCTTCTGGGAGTAGTGTGTATATATATTTGTGATCACACCAATAGATGCAGTTTCTCTGTAAGAACTATTTTAATAAAATGTTGTGCTCTGATTATCAAAACAAAGGCATGGGCAACAAGGAAGATAGCATTATAAGGAAACAGGAATAGAACCCTTTGTGCTTTCTTCCCTATCTGTCAAAATCAGTTTTCTTTTTGTTTTATCATGATATGTGGTAACTGAGCATTGCTTAATATTTTTGCTTCTTAAACACTTTTGACGATTATTTTGCAATCCCATTGTCACAGAGATGTCATAAGTAGGTTATGAAAACCCATTAGAAAATGGATTTCATAACACCAACATCTTGACATCTCTTTTCTGTGCTATCGGTTCCCCTTTTTGCCTTCAGCTGGTTTTTAGATTAGCTATTTGACTTTGCAAAAAACAACAACAACCCATTTCTCCTCTTTTTTTCTATTCATGCATGCAGATGGTACAGTATAGAAAAAAGTCTATAAGGGGATTTGTTTGGTACAGGTGCCACTTGTAGCATTTTCAGCCCTTGCACTCAGTCTTCAAGTGCAGATTAGTTGTATTCCTGCAACAGGAACAGATGTGCAGCAGTTGGTATTCTGTTGATTGGTATGTTTTCAGAGAGTAAAAAAAGGAGCATGGCAAATTGTTGTCTGTATATTTGCAGTTTGTGCTATTGTTTTTTTTCCCCCTCCTTCCAATGGTGCTGCTGGCTTGGATAATTTGAGCCTTGTGCAGGCAGCTGATAGCACACATGATTTTGGCCTTAACTTGGGGTAGCCAGTTGATATAATGATTTTTTAGTCTTTTTAAAATAATAGATGTTGATGGTGTTAGTCCGGGTTTTATGTTGTCTAACTTGTCTGCCATCCCTGTTTTACCAGTTGTTTGAATAGCCGGTTGTGGGGGTAAATGAATCGATAAAAGGAAAATGCTCTACACAGACTATAAAACTCGTTATTGTCTCACAAGTTCCAATAACTGGTGCGTAATACGTTGTGCAGGAAAAATGCACAGATGTCATGGGGGTGGGGGTGGGGGTGTCCACTTTACTGCTTAGAGAGTTACTCTGTTCCATCCACCCATCCATCAATCTATCCGCAGGCTGAAAATGTACACATCCTGAATTCTCACAGAGTCAAAATGTTTATCTTCCTTTCCCAGGAGTAAATTGTGCTGTACTTCAACCTCTCATTTCCCCTCCATACTTGAGAAACACACAGCGCTGTTGAATTTCTAGATTTTTTTATATGCATTTTTTTTTCAGAACCACTTGCCAAATTAGATCTTTTTCTTGTTTTATAAAATCCCCCTCATATGTTTTGTGTGTGTGTGTGTGTGTGTATTTAAAAAAAGTCCATTGTTGAATATTTGATTTGGTAATTCAATTCAAAGGCAATTTGATTGGACCTCTAAAATGAAGAATATTTCCAAACAGAATTAGCAAAACTGATCTGAATTGAATCAAGCATTCTGATGTTAGATTCTTCCAAAGCAATTCAGATGTCTGAATCAAACTGCATTGATGATAGTTTGATTGGAAAGATTGAACTGAATTACATTGCAAATCTAAATGGAATCAATTGTTCAAATAGGATTTTATCTCATGTATTTATTTGTTAGATATATATCCTGCCTTTGCTTTAGAGATTCAAGGTTATGAACATAGCACTTTTCCCTCTTAATTTTTTTTTAGATTGGCTGAGCCAAAAGTCTATAACTAGGTTAAAATCATGCCATGAGCTTCCGTGACTATTGGGAATCTGCCAGTCAGGCAAGGAGGAGGAAACAAGTGTGGAATTTGCCTTGAGTTTCTGCCTTGCATGGTGACCAGAGACCTAGAACTGAGCCCCCCAAAGTTCCATGACACTTTATCTGCTTGTTCCAAGAGAAGATAAGCAGTCTGGGGAGATTCTTGTATTATAGGTAGACTACAATAAAGTAGTCAACTTTACATGTGGATCTTGTTACTTATGCCTGACACTGGCTGAGGCTAGACTTGAATTTTTTTGATACGAGCCTAATACTTTAATTATTATACTATTGACTATTATTGACTCTTATACTATTATTACTTTCATTTTTACATACTAGTTCTTTGCAAAGTACAATCTTGATGACCCATCAAGCATTTCTTCAACCATATTACCAAAATATCTCCATCTATGAAGATCGACATTGTGGCAAAATTTATTTAGCTATACAGATCACCAACTTAATTAGTTAAGGGTAGGTCTTCTATAGATTATCTAGCATCCTTATGGCCACTGAGTCTCAATTGTGCAAAATTGTTACAACTGAATTATCTTTAGAGATTTACTTTCACAGGAATAATATTGGAGTTTTGCTGTTTTCATGCTTTAAAATTTCCCGGACAATCTCTGTCTTTGACATTATAACTATACCTTGATATTCCTCTCCTTAGCAACCCTCAGTTGTAAAGCTAGAATGTGTTAATCTTTATGCATTAAGGAATTGTCCATTTTCCCTTTACGTTCTATTTTAGCTATTTACCTGAATAAGTTTTTTCCAAGTAGTGGAATTCCTACACAATGAATATCTGATGTTTCTATGATGACAATACAATAGGCCTCAACCATCATATTGAAATCACATTAGAAACATTTCATTTTCTCCCCCCCCCCTTCTCTCTTGTTCCTATGCCATTCCAGGTTCAATGCTTTTGAACAGTTAGTTGATAATTTTCTAACAAATTATTGATTTAAATTATTTTTGGGAAAACAGTTTCCAGTAGATTAATTGCATATGTTTCCAGACATTGATCTGGTTGAGTTCACATAGTTTGGGATGGAGGTGGTGGGCCATTATTCTGCAGAGTACATAAATGCTTTTGGCCTTTCTCTATTCCACTCCTGGGAATAATTAAATAATGGGAAGGCGGTAAATTATTTTAGCTCCTGTTTTTCCAAGTTCATGCTATAGTAGAGCAGAATTGAAAATGAACACACAATAAACTGATTCTTAGCATTTTAATAGTGCTTTCTGCTTCCAAAGACCTAAATAAGATACCCTCTAATTAATTGTAACCACAATCCTGGTGTGGAAATGATTACAAACATTTTTTAAAAAATTCACAGCTAAAATGCTTTCTCACCACTGGTATTCCAGCTAGGGAAATAAATTACTTTCAGTGTTCCCTAAACTTCTCATAATGATCACTCATACCCTGCACTTTTAAAATTTAGAACTGGAAATACATTTCACTTGCTAAGACAAAAGCTACTTACAGTCCTATCAATGGACAGGGTGAAGCAGTGGGATTAGTTTAACATTAGTTGAGTTCTGACTGATCTGGGCCTCTTAAAGTAAACTGCTCCTTTCTTAAACCTTTATATCCCAATAACCACTCTGTAACAGCAGCTCTGAGTACAAACAAGATGGAAAGAAAAAAGATAAAGGGAAAAAAAGCATATTTTCCCTTAAAAGACAGTTACAGGAAATCTGTTACTTTATTTATTGGTTACGGTAAATTTTAAATCATTAAAATGTCAATAATACTGTTGAAAATACTGCTGCAACTAAAAAAATAACAAGTGAGAGAACTCATGGGGATTGTTTGCTATAATAGAAGCAGCTTTCCTATAAATCCAACCCAGAAAAAAAGATAGTCAAATAACATGAAGCCAGCAAACTTTAATGCAAAACTATTTTATTCTTAAATTAGATTAAATTAAATTGGCTCCTGAGACCAAGTGTTGTTCCAATTCTGGATATCAATAAATGAATAAAATAAATTCCCCTGAGATCTTAGTTCCTGGCAGCTCTGACTTCTGTTTCTGTTCTCCTCTCTTTATATTCCAATTTAAAAAGGCATCGTTTCCTATTCTGGTTACTTCAACATACTCACGGTTATTTGTGTACTTGTGTACACTGGTTGAGAACAGTAGAAGGCAGTATCCTATCACCAGTGTTTCAACTTGAAACAATGAAAATGAAAAGGCAATTTTGTCTTTTGCCTCAAAGGGCAAGTGTTGTGGGCAGGATATCTATAGGTAAAGAGACCCAGGGATGAACTTGGAGAACCTATGCAGAGATACAGTAGTTAGGACAACATGTACAAAAGCATACTTAAGTCTGGGAAACAAAACCCCTAGGAAGAAACTCAGTCTGGTTCTTCCCAAAGTCTCTTAGATATAAGGAAAAACACAG